CCCCCCTGTGGCCGGTGGGGTGGCGGGGCCATCCGTGAAGGTGGCGGTGCGGGTCCGGCCCTTCAACTCCCGGGAGATGAGCCGGGAGTCTAAATGCATTATCCAGATGTCGGGAAGCACAACCAGTGAGTGCCCTTGTCCAGGGCAGAGGGGCTCGGGAAAGCTTTGGGTGCTGCTTAGGGTGGGGTGATTCTGTGATACTGTGGCACTGTGACTCTGTGGCACCCCCAGCCCCGCTATCTGCAGCCCCCACACAGCCACCCCCAGGCCCCTCATCCTGCTGCCCAGGCCAGGGGGGCAGGCAGGGCAGGGGTAGGGCCAGGGCTTCAGCCAGCACTTTGCTGACACGGGGGTTTTTCTCCATGAATGAACAAACCTTTGGCTAATCCCCTCAGCCGGGGAGCTGGGGGGCAGGCATCAGGAGGGCTGTGGTTCCTGCTTCTCCTGCCAGCTGGGAAAGGCAGAGGGATGCTGGTAGTGCCAGCTGCCTTCCCCACAGAGCAGGGCTATCTCGGCCTCCCAGAGACAGAGAACCCAAAAATAAAAATGTTTGGGAAGGTAAGAGCAAGTTTTCCCCTTCCCAGGATTATTTGCAGAGACCCTTGCAAGCACTGGGGTGGGAGAGGTCATTGTTTTGCCTAATACACTAAGTCTTGTGGGGGGCAGCAGGGTTGGGAGGCTGGAGCAGGAAGGGGTCAGCCCTTCTCTGCCATCCTTTTCTCCCCAGGTTTCCAGCCACCCCCCCTCCATGGCTTCCCAGGCTGTGGCTGCCTGCCTGCCAACACTGCTGCTTTGTTCCCCTGGTGTCCCCCCCTTCCTGCAGCCATGGGGACTAGCCTGGGCACCAAAACCCCCATCCCCATTCCTGGCAGCTCCTGCCAGGATGGCCAGGAAGGGACCCCAGCTTTCATCCTGCAAGGCCATTAATATTCTCTGGCTGGAGCTGTGCATCTGCAGGCTTTAAAATACAGTGATTATTTTCTCTCCTGCGGGTCTTGGATTTTATCCTGCTCAGTGCTTGCTCCCCTGATATGCTCTGCTGTGCTGCTGGCTCTTAGGGGCAAAGATGAGGGTCATCTCCAGATGTTTTCCTTCTTCCTCTCTTGTCTGCGTGTCTGTCTTCCTCCCCCTCCCCAGCTTTTGCCAGAGCATCAATATTTTGCAGCAGCTTTGCAAAGGCCCTGGGTTGCCTGGTCCCAGGAGAGAAAAAAACCCACCAGTGGCATCTAGCCACATGGGGGGAAATAAATGGGAATGAAGGGGGTGTGGGGAGAGCTTCTCAGCTTGGGGATGGGAGACTCGCTGCTCTTGATGTCCCCCCTTCTCCCCTGTGTTGCAGTCTCCAGCCTGTTGGACCAGCTGGGTGGCTGCAGCTGGGATGCTCTGGAGCCACTTGGTGCCATCCCCAGCTGCTTCTCTGCCCTGTGCCCAGTGTGGGCTGGCACTGGGATGCAGAACAGCTGCCTTGTTTGGCCCTGTCCTTCCTGCTCCTTCTTTTGCCTTCATTGGACTCATTTTTGGGGAGTGATGCTTCTGTTTGCTTTGGAGAGGATCACCTCTGCAGGGAGGAGTCAGACCTGAGCCAGGGGGCTGGGTGACATGGCAGAGCTGCCAGGTGAACCCCAGGGGCCACAGGAGATTCTCTGTCTGGCTTCTTGCATGGCCTCCTGTCACTGTTTAGACTTATGTGGGGAAGAAAAGAACAGTTTCCCACACCTCCCTACCCACTTCTCTTTGGAGTGGCCACTCGCATGTCCTCAACACACTGACTGGGCACTGGCCTGGTGCCGTTTCAGTCTGGATCTCAGCAGGGCCCTCTAAGTCTTTGCAGCTGTGGGGTGGGCAGTTGCTGTGGGGATGTCACTTTCTAGCCTTTTCTCCTGAGAGAGCAGCTAGTAACTAGTCTGCCCAGGCTGCGAGAGGCATCTGGAGCATCTGAGTCATGCTGACTCCAGTGGGCAGGCAGGCAGGGAGCCAGTACCCAGCCCCTCTTTGGTGCTGGAGCTGGGCTTCTGCCCACAGCAAGGGACATCTGTGCAGCACCATGCTGCTGTTTTGCAGTTGGGACTGGATCCTGACCCTGCTTCCCACCCTCCACCTGCCCACCTTGCTGCCTTTGTGGGCAGGGAGAGATGGGTCTCAAGCCAGAAGTGGCAGATCCTTCCACATGGGGGAGGGTAGAATCCGTTGTGGCAACGTAGGAAAAATTTGGAGCAGAAAACATCTGAATCCATAACACCACAGACCAGGACATCCAGCCTCCCAGGGAGGGGGCTGCACCAGGCCTGGGGCTGCTTGGGAAGGTTCCAGCTTGAATCCTGACCGGGTCTGAGTCCTGGCTGAGCATTGGGGCAGGGCAGACTGGGGCTATGATGGAGGGAGCTCCATCAGCCGTGGTGCTGTGTGGCCTCCTGGTCCCCAGCTGGGGGCTGCAGGCTTGGGAACTGTGCTGCACTGGCCCACAAGGTCATTTCAATGTCACCTGAGAGGGCCGGATCTGGTGATTACCCCACTGGTTTGAGTTTCTTCTGACGCATCTGTTGTTTCTGGAAATAAAACCAACAACAAACCCAACCAAACATCATGAATGCTCCGGGGGGTGGGGATGCAGGGAGCAAGGAAGAGAAGTGATGCAGTCTCCAATTTCCATGACAACATCCTCTTCACCAGGGGATGAAAAGCAGGCTCTGGTTTCTGCTGGCAGTGTAACAGGAGGCATTAATCACCCTGCTGGCACTTGGGACCCAGAGCAGAGCACAGGGGAGGAGAAAAAGGAGCCAGAGGGGGCCTGGGGAGCCCTGATGGGGCCACAGCTGCTCCCACCCCACAGTGCCAATGAGTGTGGCTTTGGGAACAGCCCCCCAAGCTGTGGGGTGAAGGAAGGCTGTGATCCTCCCATGCTGGTGTCAGGCTTCCATGGGCAAATGTCAAAGCAGGAAGAAGCCTGAGGGAAAGGGTTGTTTCCCCCACACCGTGCCCAACAGGGTGTTTGAGCAAAACTCTGCCCTGCTCCCTGGGCTGGTGCAGGCTCTGCTGGCTGTGGCACCCAGCACCTGTGCTGGGACTCTTGGGGTTTGGTGGCTCTGGACCCACCTGTGGAGCTGGAGGGTCCTGGTTCTGCTTTCCAGGACTGCTTCAGACTTCATCACCCTTCTCCCCTTACAAGTGGGAAGCACCAATGTGGGGGTACCCCAGCTGGCTGGGTGGACTCATGTTCCTATCTGTTTGCCCCTAGCTATCCTGAACCCAAAGCAGCCCAAAGAGACTCCAAAAAGCTTCAGCTTTGACTACTCCTACTGGTCCCACACCACGGTAAGTGGTGGGAGATCTGAGCCTGCCTGGAGTGCTGGGCTGGGGAGAGGCAGGAGGACCCCCTTGCCAAATTTCTCCTTGTCACCCTTCTCTCTGCAGCCCTCAGACATCAACTATGCATCTCAGAAGCAAGTGTACCGGGACATTGGGGAGGAGATGTTGCAACATGCCTTTGAAGGCTACAATGTCTGCATCTTTGCCTACGGGCAGACGGGCGCTGGCAAGTCCTACACCATGATGGGGAAGCAGGAGAAGGACCAGCAAGGCATCATCCCACAGGTACCACCTGGGGAAGAGCTCTCTGTTCTCCTGCTCTGGTGTGATGCCCAAAGGAAAAGTGGAGTAGGGGAGGGAAGAGGGGAGAAGGGGCCAAGACCCCCTTCTGGTAGGAAACTGAGCAGCCTGGCTCTTCTCTCCACAGCTGTGTGAGGATCTCTTCTCCCGCATCAACGACACGACGAATGACAACATGTCCTACTCTGTGGAGGTAGGCACCCCATCACCTGCCTGGTCCAGCTCCAACCTCCCACCCAGCTCTACGAGCCCTGCCAGCCTCCAGATCCCTCTTTGGGGGTCCCATCCCTGGGTGTGGGGTGGGCCTGATTCTGCCTACATGCTGAGCACCCACATGCAGCCACTAACCTTGCCTGTGCCCCCTCCTCTAGGTGAGCTACATGGAGATATACTGTGAGCGTGTGAGGGACCTCCTGAACCCCAAGAACAAGGGGAATCTGCGGGTCAGGGAGCATCCCCTTATGGGCCCATATGTTGAGGACCTTTCCAAGCTGGCTGTGACCTCCTACAATGACATCCAAGACCTCATGGACTCTGGAAACAAGGCCCGGTGAGTTGGGGGGCAGGAGATGGCCAGGACCTGGAGAGCTTGCAGACATCTCCAGAAGGTTAACTTCCTTGCTTTGCTGGTCTGGCTGCTCCAGAGGTGGCAGTCCCCTCCTTTTCGAGCATTGAGTCTCCCCCACTTTTTGTCACCTTACTTCCTTCCTGCTCTCAAAAGGCCCTGCAGCCAGCAGGAGAAAGCCTGGGTTCTTCCCAGAGCCCTCTCATGTCCTCCAGAGTCCTCTCATGTCCTCCAGACTTACCTTCCCATCGTGTACTATGTCCTGAAATGAGCCCTGGCCCCAGCACCAGCCACTGCAGTGTCCCCTGCAGTGTCACACCTCCCTGTCCTCTCCCTGCAGCACAGTGGCTGCCACCAACATGAACGAGACCAGCAGCCGCTCCCACGCCGTGTTCAACATCATCTTCACGCAGAAGCGGCACGATGCTGAGACAGACATCACCACTGAGAAGGTGGGAGCAGGGTCTAGGGGACTCAGGAAAACACACGTGGGCCCAGGAAGGGTTTTGTGTGCTCTCCACAGCACTTGGGGTGAGATGGTGCAGCCCGAGGAAGGGGTGAAACAGGATGGAGATAATTTGCAGGCACGTGCTGGGCTTATGGTTCCTGGAGGGAAAGGCCCCTGGGCAGGACAGTTGAGCTGATGCCCTTCAGCCCTGCCTGCAAGGATGTTAGCCCTGCTCCTGGCCAGATCCTGGCAAGGATGACCCTGCAGAGCCCACCTCTGCCTTCAGAGCAGTGTCACCTCAGAAGAGATCTTAGCTTCCTCCTTGGCTCTGTGCTGGGGCCTGGTTCTGTGCCTGGCAGGACTCACAGCCTTGTCTCTGCCTGCAGGTCAGCAAAATCAGCCTGGTGGACCTGGCAGGGAGCGAGCGAGCTGACTCCACTGGTGCAAAGGGCACAAGACTAAAGGTGAGAGCTGGAGGTCCCCTTCTGCTGGTGGCAAGACCATGTCCTGCCCCCTCGTCCCCAGCTGTTGCATCTCCTTTCCTTGCCTGCTTCCTTGCCCACTATGCTGCCAAAATCCTTGCCCACCTTTTGTTTGAAAGCTGCCCAGTGGCAGTTCCACTGGGGTCCATGAGTCCCACTTGGGAGGTGCTGGTTGCCCAGGAAGACCAGCTGCTCATTGCCCACCCTGTACTGGGACCTCCTCACCCTCCTGGTGCCCCAGTATTGAGCACCCCTCTGAAATGGTGTTTGAACATTTGGCCTTTTCTTCTCTCCACCAGGAAGGAGCAAACATCAACAAGTCCTTGACCACACTGGGGAAAGTCATCTCTGCCCTGGCTGAAATGGTGGGTAGCTGGAGCCATGGGTGAGTGGGAGCACTGCAAGGGAATGGGATGGGCACAGCAGGGATGGGCTCAGCCCTCAGGGATGGAGCATCCCAGATCTGAGGGACAGGCATACACATCCCAAGCTGTCCTGGTGGCTGGGACCAGCTGGGCTGGTGAGGCTGCTTGTCTCCCTGGAGACCTGCACCTGCTGCTCTCTGCCTGGGGGACGGGGAGGGGGGGCTGTTGTGGGTGGTGAGGAGGGGAGCAGCTCACTTCAACAGTCTCTCTGCTTTCTTTGCAGGATTCGGGGCCAAACAAGGTTGGTGTCCTGGCTGGGCTGGGGAATGGAGGGTTGATTTTTAGCATGGGTGGTTGAGGGTGGGTTTCATGCTTCTCCTGGTGGCTGGCAGAGCCCTCAGCATCCTCCTCACTCTCCTCATTGTGTGGCTCTCAGTGCTTGGCATTAAGCACCTATCCTGGTCCAGGCAGCACCTGTGGAGCTGAGCAGAGCTGCCCAAGGTCACAGTGGCCAGGCAGAGCTCTCCTCCTCTGAGTCCCCATGGCTGGGGACTGGCTGTCACCTTCCCTTGGAAGTGAGCAGGCAGCCTGACAGCCCTTCCCTCTGCTCTCCATCCCCTAGAACAAAAAGAAGAAGAAGACTGATTTCATCCCCTACCGGGACTCGGTGCTGACCTGGCTGCTGCGGGAGAATCTGGGTGAGGACGTGGGTGGGAGGTACAGGCTGGGCAGCAGGCACAGCCACCAGCATCTCCCTGATGCAAGGGTGTCTCTCTGGGCAGGGGGCAACTCCAGGACAGCCATGGTCGCTGCTCTCAGTCCTGCTGACATAAACTACGATGAGACCCTCAGCACCCTCAGGTAGGAATAAGTATCCTTGTCCCCCCATGGCCCCTGAAACCCGGGCAATGCCACGTGCTCTTCTCACCTCTGTAGCAACCCTGGCTGGGGCGGGAGGTGCTGTGGAGGCACCTCAGGCATGAGGCCAAAGGGTTGTCCTGGTGCTGGGATCCTCCAAAGGACTGCTCTGCTGGAAGGGTTTAGAGGCACTGCTTGCCCAGCAGCTGGAGGTTTTGCCCCCTGCTGCTGCTGAGGGCTCTGTCCTGCCCCAGGTACGCTGACCGTGCCAAGCAGATCCGCTGCAACGCTGTCATCAATGAGGACCCCAACAACAAGCTCATCCGGGAGCTGAAGGACGAGGTGGCCCGTCTGCGTGACCTTCTCTATGCCCAGGGCCTTGGGGACATCATTGACAGTAGGTACCACCTGGTGCTCTCTGGCGGAGGCTCCAGGCAGAGGCAGGCTGGAGTCCGTCCTGCCCGTGGGGCTGATGTCTCCCTGTATCCTGCTCTGCCAGCCAGGCAGCAGCACCCTGCTGCTGAAGAGTGGTGGTGACACCTCCAGCAATCCCCTGCCTGTGTGTTTGCAACCCCCAGCCCACTCCCTTAAGTAAAAGGAGCTGCTTTACACCCAGCAGACCCCTACTTCTTCTCCTCCACCTCCTGTCTTTAGCATCCCGTGCCCAGCAGAGGTGCCAGGAAGGTGTTCCCAGGGCTGAGCCCACCATGGTCTCTCCTCCATGTGCTGTCAGAAACCCTACTGAGATGAACCCCCTCTTGTTCTATGTTCTCTCTGTTCTTACCCCTGCTCCCTGCCCTCTCTCTCTCTCTTAGCCCATCCTGCTGCAGGAGGATCCAAATGTGTGTATTCCCCATCACTGGTACTCTTGCTTCATGGCTTTTGGGAGGTGTAGGCTGTGCCCAGGGGCACCTGTGCAGCATGGGGAAGGGCTGCTGGAGCCGGCCCAAGCTCATGGAGAGGTGCTTGCCCTCTCGCTGGCTGTTCCCAGGGAGCTGGTAAAGGGGATGGTAGCAGGGTCACGGTCAGTGCCTGGGCTTGGGATAGCACTTGGAGGGACCAGCATCCTCTGCTGTGCTGAGGGCCTGATCCCCACGGGGACTCCTTCCTCCCTGCTGTCACAATGTTTGCTGTTGCTGCTTCTGCTGGCTCTGGGGCTTGTCGGGACTGGAGCCTGGCATGACACTGGGGCAGGCTGGCAGCTGCCCTCCTGATGGAGGGGGGTGTGGTGATGGCCAGGAGGCTTTTGCCAGTGGATAAGCTCTGTCGCCCCATCCTGTCCTGGGCCAGGCAGTGCAGCCGGGCAGTGGTTGGGCCCAGCGAGGAGATGGGGACCTGGCCCTTCCCCTCCTGGCTTGGCTCCCCCAGCTGTGGGCTGATGGAGGTGGCTAAGTCTGCACACACAAACCTGTGCCCACCTCCAGCACAGCACGCTGAGCCCCTGCAACTTCTCTGGGCTTGGGGAGCATCTCTGATACTTAGATCCCTTTGCTGTGGGGTTTGGTGGCAGCTGGTGCTGGGGGTGTCAGCAGGAAAAAGTAAGGGGCATGGTGCCACCCTGCCCTCACTTTGCTCTCTCTCTGGCTTCCTGGCCGAGGTGCTGCTCCTCCTGCTCTGTCTCCATGACCCCTGTGTAGGGCAGAGGGCCACAGCCTCTTCTCCCCTTCCTTTCTTATTCTCTGTCCCCAGATCCAGCTAATCTGGGACAGCTGGGCAAATACAACAACCTGGGCTGTGTCAGTAGGAGGATGACAGGGGTGTGCTCTTGGGGAGGAAGGTTGATCCCAGACCTGATGGCTGCAGGATCTGGTGTTGCAGAAAAGTATCCCTGAGAGCCTGGGAAGCTTCCAGGGCTGCTAGCACAGCTGCTTCCCAAAACAGCCCTGTGCTCCTGGGGGACTGCCTGAGCTGAGGGAGAGATGCCTGTGCCCTTGCCCTGCTGCTGCCTGTGCCACTGTGCTGTTGTCTGTGCCTTTTCCTTGTAATTCCTGGCTTTCTTCTTGCCACACCCAGCCGCTCTTTTTTTTTTTTTTCCTGCCCCCCACAACAGCTTTTCTCGTCTCCATCTTTCTCTCTCTCTTCTTCTCTGTGTGTCTTCCCCTGGCCCATCCCTCCTTCCCTGCCCCGTAGATGTGTCCGACTTTGAGAACAATAATGATGCTAGAGGGGGAGAGCTGAATCAGCGCCCTGACAATCTCTCCACAGTGACCAATGCCATCGCTGGGATCAGTCCCTCTTCCTCCCTGTCAGCCCTGTCCAGCCGTGCTGCCTCTGTCACCAGCCTCCACGAGCGTATCATGTTTGCTCCGGGCAGCGAAGAGGCCATCGAGAGGCTCAAGGTAAAGAGGCCAGTGCCCAGCAGGACAGAGGGGTTCAGCTCCTGTGCTGAGGCTTCTGGAGGGGGCTCAGTGTTCTCTGGAAGCCCATTAAGTGGGGAGATGCTCAGGTGAAGCCATGCCTGGGTGTGCTGCTGCAGAGCAGACAGACCCAGAGGTGCCCAGTGCTCTCGACTGCTGGATGGGAGAGGGTTTGGTGTGGTAGGGACCACCTGCTGCTGCTGTCCTCCTCGTGGGGTGGCTGTTCTTTTGACCTGTGGGATGAGTGCTCCTGGCTTGGGATGGGTGCTCCCAGCCCAGCATGGTGCAGAAGTGGGCTGGCAGCAAGGGGATGGAGAGGCTGGTCTTAATGCCTTGCTCTTTGAAGATGGGGATGATGGAAAGACAGTGGTGAAATGCTGCTGTGGCTTGTTTAAACCACCCGAGACTGGGACCAGTGTCCTGCTGCAGTATGCAGGCAGGTCTGTTGCCTGTAGGACACTCTAACCCCCTGCTAACCCTACCCTTGCCAGGAAACTGAGAAGATCATTGCAGAGCTGAACGAGACGTGGGAGGAGAAGCTGCGGAGGACAGAAGCGATCCGGATGGAGAGGTAGGTGGGGCTCCCCAGTCATGTCTCCTCCTCTGCACTTTGCCTAGAGCAGTTCAGCTCCTGGGGGCACCCAGGATGCTTGACCATCCAGCTGTACCCAGACTGCCCCCCTGGGCACCACAGTGCCCTCCATGCTAAGCAGGCACAGATGTGTTCTGCTTTGAGAAACCTCCCTGAGGCACAGAGACAGCTAAAGGAGGTTCTAGGGCTGTGATCTGTGGGCAAACCCGTGGGCTTGAGTCCCCTCTAGGGCTTGTCTAGTGTCAACTCCAGGGACTCGCGTGGCTTTGACCAGTTCTTCTTTCCCTTGTTCTTTCAGGGAAGCATTGCTGGCTGAAATGGGGGTGGCCATGAGGGAGGATGGAGGCACCTTGGGTGTTTTCTCTCCTAAAAAGGTAGGATCATCTTATTCTCTTCTTCCCCTGGCAAATGAGGGGTTCATACCCCTGCAGCTTCCTTCCAGCCAGCCCCAGATACTCCACTAGCCTTTTCTTGTCTCTGAAACCTATGGAGGAAATCCCAGTGTTGGCCCTGCTGGGTATCAACATAGGTAGATACTCCTGACTAAACATCCAGCCCTCACTGCTTGGATGATGTCCCCATTCAGGTGGGGCTTTGGTGATGATGGCTGTGTTAGACTTCAGTGCTAGCTTATAAAAATCCGTACTTTGGGGTATTTGGAATTGCTGCCCCTGAAACTGGCAAGTCCTTGCTGAGAAATGCAGGTGCAGAAATATTCCACAGTCATCATTGCTTGTAGCATCCTGGAGAGTATTTTCTAAGCAAAATGCTGGCTGTGTCCCAAAGAGTTTGGGTGCCAGCAAACTGCCAAGTACCAGTGACATTAATCACTGCATCTCACTCATCTGTGTAACCATCATGGTAGTGACATCCAGTTCACAAGCCCAGCCCTGGTGGAGCGTGCAGAGCAGTGCTGGGTGCTGAGGAGCAAGCACCTGCTGGTAGGACCAGGTTATGCTTGCTTAGCTCTCCCACCACACTGAGGGATGCTTTGGGGGCTGCCCCAGCAGCTGATGCTGGTTGACTTGGTGACACTCAGATGGAGCCCTTGGGACCTTCCCCTTGCATGCCTTGGTGTGGCTCTTAGGACAAATTTCTACAGTGTTGTCATTGTTTCTCACCTTTGTCTCAGCTGCTGCCTGTTAGGACCACAGATCTCTGTGTAGAAAGCATAGGGGTTTATTCCCCAAAGCAGGTTGGTCTTAGAGGTTGGGCATTGCTGTGGTGGTCTTGGTGCCTCCTTGCTCTTCAGCTGTCTGGGGGGTGGAAACTCTGACTTCTGCAGTGGCTGGCAAGAAAAGCTAGGTTTGATAGCATGCAAAGCCCCTTTTTGCTAAGGGAAAAGCAGGGCAGGACTGTGGTGTCCTGCTCTGTGTCATCGCTGGGCTGGTTACATTTCCAAGGAGCTTATTGGAAGGTAGAACATCTGCCTCCTACTAACCGGTCTTGCAAGTCTGGAGAAAAACTGCAAGCTGAAGGAGCCTCAGACTGTGGGGCTACATGTCTGCCTAGGGGGGCCTGAGGTTAAATGCTGTGGCCAACTCATTCCTGCCAGCCACCATGGAGAAGAGCCTGTGTTTCCCTTGGCCTCCAGCTCTCCTGCACTGTTTGGAGTGAGTCTGTTCTATCAGCCAGGGCTTGTGGAAATGTTGTGACAGGAAAACCTCTGCATGCTGGTTGTCAGTGGGCTGATGAGATGTTCCTTATGGTCTCTATTCTTATTTTTGGGCAACTTAGAGCTTCATCTGCTGATACTGCTGGAACTGACCCCGTTGCCTGAAGGTGCAATCACTGCAGCTTGTGATGGGGTGGGATAAGCCACAGCCAGAGGGGTCTGTGGCTGGGGGAGAAACTTCCCTCTCATCAAGAGCAAAGTGGTTTTTGACCGAGGGGAATAGCTGTTAGGAAGGTAGTGAAATTCAGCCTGGAGATACAGCTTCAGGTCTCAGTTGAGCCTCTAGTCTGGAACCTGCTCTTTTGGGTGCTTCGTCCTTGTACCATCAGTGGAGGAAAACAGGCACTTGTAGTTCTTCTCATCCTACACCAGCTGTTGCATGGGATGTGCCTCTGCCTCAGCTACACTGTCCACAGCGGAGCTGGAGGCTACAGTGAGGCAAGGGCCTGTGGACATACAGCACAGGTGAGCAGAGTCCCACTCCAGGAGACACGAGCCATATCAGGGATTCCCCATGGGAAGTGTTCAGCTCCATGCTGGGCCTGTTTGCAAAGTGGATTGTCAAAGGCAGCCAGGGGAGTGCCCAGGGTGCAGTGCTTTGAGGAGGAAAGCAAGTCAGCATGTGGAGGCAGGTCATCCTCATTCCAGCTGCTCGGCTCTCTGCAGTCCCCTTGAAAACTACCTGCCTGTGTATGTTGTCCTGGAGCTAGAGAAGGCAGGAGAGCCCATGCAGGGGCAGCCTGAGGTGCTGCTGAGCTCCCAGCTCCCTCTGCACCCAGGTGAGCAGGGTGCACTGAGGTGACTCCTTGTTTGTCTCTCCCAGACACCCCACTTGGTCAACCTGAATGAGGACCCGCTCATGTCTGAGTGTCTTCTCTACTACATCAAGGATGGGATAACAAGGTGAGAGCCAGGTGCTGTGGAGCAGTGGCAGCCTAGCCTGTATCTCAGTGTCTGACTTGCCTAGGTTGGCAGCAGAGTGACAGCTGTCCCTGGTCTGGGCACTGTTCCTGGGTCATCCCCAGAGTGCCATAGAATGTGGGGAAAACGTATCTGCCTGGCAACCTGACATTGGTCCTGCTGTGCACCATGGGCTGCTCCTGTCAGCCCCAGGGGTGGTTTTGGGGGGAGGGCAAGGAGGGGCTGCTTTGAGGAAGGATCAAGCTGTGTTTTTCCTTGGCAGGGTTGGCCGGGAAGATGCAGAGAAGAGGCAGGACATTGTTCTCAGTGGGCACTTCATTAAGGAAGAGCACTGCCTTTTCCGCAGTGACACCAAAACCGGTGGTGAAGGTACTCCTTGTCTGGAGGGACTCCACTTCCCCAAGGGACCTCAGTCCCTCTCTGTGTACCCAGCATCTGTCCCCAGCCAAGATTCCTGCCCTCCTCATGTTAATAGGGCTCTGCCACATGGCTGTGGCCTCTATGAGCCTCCAGAGCAAGCTACAGCCCTCACCTAGCTGGGAGGGAAGCTCGTGCAAGGCACATGGAAGCTGCCTTGGTGAGGCCAGCCAGGGAGATCAGGGTGGGAGTGCGGAGCAGATTGTAGATGATTCCCCCACCCAAGATGTGGAGCAGAGCCCACGCCACAAACCAGCAGGAACCTGGGAGCGAACAGGGTAACAGGCTTTGGAAGATGAGCCTGGGGAGGCTGGAGATACATGCTGAAGGCTCTGATCTCCTCTCACATCCAGGCTCCAGCTGCTTTTAGTTCTTGGGACTGCTCTGATTAACATAAGCTTGGCTGAGCCCCATCGGTTTCCCAGGCTGGGGATGATGCTGGTGGGTGCCCAGAGTGCCCCTCATTGTGTCCCTGGAGTGCTGAGTGGGGCAGCTCTCCCTTTCTGAGGCTGCAGGAGCAGTGGAGCAGGAGATGTAGCATTTATCCCTCTGCATCCACCTTACTTGTGCTCCCTCTCTGCCCTTTCCATTGTGTCTGCAGTGATAGTGACCCTGGAGCCCTGTGAGGGTGCTGACACCTACGTGAATGGCAAGAAGGTGACAGAGCCCAGCATCTTGCGCTCAGGTGGGTCCCCAGAGCTGCTCTAACCAGCCTCCTTCCATCTCCTGGAGGCCCTGCACGTTGTCCCACATTAACCAACACCCTTTCCTCCTCCTCCACCCTGGATGCATCCCTGTAGGAAACCGCATCATCATGGGGAAGAGCCACGTCTTCCGCTTCAACCACCCCGAGCAGGCTCGGCAGGAGCGGGAGAGGACCCCGTGTGCCGAGACCCCTGCGGAGCCTGTGGACTGGGCTTTTGCCCAGAGGGAGCTGCTGGAGAAGCAAGGCATTGACATGAAGCAGGAGATGGAGCAGCGGTGAGGGCAAAGGGGCTGGGGTGATGGGGAGTTGGGGACCCACCTCCAGGTTGGTCATCCTCTCCTTTCCCATTCCTTCCAGGCTCCAGGAGCTGGAGGACCAGTACCGGAGGGAGCGGGAGGAGGCAAATTACCTTCTCGAGCAGCAGAGGCTGGTAGGTGGTCAGAACCTGGCTCCTTCTCAGACTGCCCACTCCTGGCAGATGTTTGCATGGGGTGGCTCTGTGTGTCCTAAAAACAAAGGCAAACCTGTTGTCTCTGGGGTTGTCCCTGTACACACAGATGTAGAGGAGGGAGGAGGCTGGGTGGGGGGAAAAGCACTATGTGGCAGCGTGGACAAAGGTCACACTTTGTGGGTTGCATCATCCCTCTTCTTGTTTCCTTCAGGACTATGAGAGCAAACTGGAGGCTCTCCAGAAGCAGATGGACTCTAGGTATTACCCTGAGGCAAATGAGGAAGAAGATGAGCCTGAAGATGAAGGTGAGGTCTTGGTGCCGCCACAGGGTTTTGATGCTCTCTGAGGGAGCAAGAAGAGTGGGCTCTGGGTCCCCTGGGCACTTCTGTGCTGATGTCCTCCTTCCTGGCAGTGGGGTGACTGTTCCTCTTTGTCCCCACAGTGCAGTGGACGGAGCGGGAGTTTGAGCTGGCTCTCTGGGCCTTTAGGAAGTGGAAGTGGTACCAGTTCACCTCCCTCCGTGACCTGCTCTGGGGCAATGCCATCTTCCTCAAGGAAGCCAACGCCATCAGTGTGGAGCTGAAGAAGAAGGTGGGTGCCCGAGGCTCCTCTCTGGCTTGCTGTGGTACCCATGGCAGAGGCCACAAGCACGGGCAGCCGGGGAAGTGCCAAGGAAGGGGTTGCCAAAGGCACCATGCAGAGCCCAGTGTCCTCCTGGGTGTCTCACTGTCCCCCTCTGCCCTTCCTCAGGTCCAGTTCCAGTTCGTGCTCCTCACAGACACACTCTACTCACCTCTCCCTCCTGACCTGCTGCCTCCTGATGCTGCCAAGGACCGGGAGAAGCGACCATTCCCCCGGACCATCGTGGCCGTAGAGGTGCAGGACCAGAAGAACGGGGCTACCCATTACTGGACCCTGGAGAAGCTGAGGTGGGTGAACCTTACCTGTGCTGGGCAGGGCTCAGCTGGCCTCAGCCTGGTGTCTCACTGCTGCCTGCCCCTCTGCCTGCAGGCAGCGCCTGGACCTGATGCGAGAGATGTACGACCGTGCAGCAGAAGTGCCTTCCAGCGTCATTGAGGACTGCGACAACGTGGTGACGGGCGGAGACCCTTTCTATGACCGCTTCCCCTGGTTCAGGCTGGTGGGCAGGTGAGTGCTTCGGCTCCTTCTAAGTGTGGCTGGGACTGGCAGCAGCCCTGCTGGCTCTGCTGGGTGCAGGGCGTTCGTCTCCCTAGAGAGCAAGGCCGTGGGAGGAGGTGCTGTCTCCCTGGTCCTGGTTCTCCTCCTCGTTGGCTGCCGGGACCCCGAGGGACCTGCTGCTGGCAATGCTCCTGCTGTAACACAGTGCTGTGGGGCACGGGCTTGTGGTTTGCCACTGGTGGGGGAGGTGGGAGGCAGTGGCTGTCCAGCAGGCTGAGAGCTCATGCCACCTTGACCTCCATCCTGGTGGGCACGCGTCAGTGTCCCAGCATCCGTTTGTACGGTACGTGCTGCGCGTCGCCGTGCGCTTCCCGCGCGCTGGTTGGAAGGGTGCAGTGCCAGCAAGGTGGACGGGGCACCCTGGAGAAGGGGTCTGCCCTGGCGGGCAGGGGGAAGCAGAGGACTGAGCTGCCTGCCCCAACCAACCACGCCTGCCACAGAGTCACCCCCCCCATGTCATGGCACATGGAGAGATTCCCTTTGGTGGTGGGGGGGGTGGCAGTGAGCCTCGTGCCACCCGCTCTGTCCCTGTGCTGCCCACCAAGCCAGCAAGGGGAATCCCCACCGTTTGCACCAGTTCCTTGGGTCACTCTTTTTTCCACCCTTCACAGCTGACAGCCATTGGTGGCTTCTTTTAGAGACACACCAGACGGGCAGGTCTTTTATTTCCCAACACCCCTTGGTTTAAGCAGAAAAAAAAAAAGCCCCACCCCAAAACCTAACCAAGGAAAATACAACAAACCAAACAACACAACACCCAAAAATGAAAAAAAAATCCTATTCTTACTCTCTCTGTTTGGAACAGCTGGTGTTAACATGTCTTCTATCTTGTTGTACTAACCTTAGTTCAGATATCTCTGGCTGCAACAGCTCTCCTCTTTTCAACACATGCATGAGCGAGCGCATGGCTGATCTCACCCCCTCCCCTACCTTCTCGAACCCCGACTCCGACATCACCGAGCCTGCTGACGAGCAGCACCAGGGGCAGGAGGAGGAGGAGGAGGAGGCGGAGGACCTGGAGGAAGACATCTTTCCGGAGTGCCCGCTGTGTGATGGCCGGGATCCGTTTTACGACCGCTCCCCCCTGTTCAGTTTAGTAGGAAGGTTGGTGAGGTTTTAGGAGAGCATGCCGGGAAGGAACTAGCTCTTTCGCATGAGGGAACTGCTTTCGGACACAACTCCTACCTCTGGGGTGTCCTGGAAGAGCAGGGGGTGGCCAGCTGGCTGGGATTGCCACTGAGCCCGGGGTGCCTGGTGGGGCAGCGAGGTGCCCACTGAGGTAGGGCTGTGAGGAGCACAGCAGCAGTAGGAGATAGCAGGAGAACCATGCCAGCTCCACTGGAGACTCTTTTAGGGAGGTCCCTCTTTGGGGCAGCTCCTGAGAAGGGGAGCTGTGCCTCTGGCACTGAAGGAGCCAGGGAGATGCACAGGAGTCTTGGTCCTGAGCATTCCTGTCCCAGGGAAGGTCACCTCCCACCTGGCTCTGGGTCACCCCATGATGCCACTGGCTGGGGACATGTGGGCACTTGAAAAGCTGGCATGTCTGTGGCACTGGCTTGGCCATCCTGGCTGCATCAGTCAGCGGGAGCCTCCCAGGATGCAGAGGCTTGGATGTCCCCAGGGAGCTGGGGGAGCGAAGCTGAGAGGAGCAAGGAGGGAGCCAAGGGCAGGAGGAAGAGAAAGGCTCTGCAGAAAGGAGCATTTTCTCTTGTCTCTGTACCCAGTGCCTGGCTTGGGGCCATCCCTGCCAGTGTGGCACAGGAGATGTTCAGGGAGGTTGTGGGGACCCGGGTGCAGGTTCCAATTCCTCCTTGGCTCCAGCTGGGAAGAGCTTTGATTCCTCATATCTCTTAGCCATGAGACCCCCCTGGGCTCTATTAGTCTGGAGAAACCCACTAGCTGCTGCAAAACCAGCTGTGTCACCCAAGCCTGGTGACAATCAACCCATCCCCAAAATGGGATGTGGTGCTGCCAGCTCCGCCCCAGGTTTTTCCCAAGGGGATAATGTGTACCTGGAGCTGATCCTGGAGTTTCTGCCCCAGGCAGGAGCCAGAGTGGCTCATGATGGTTGAACCTCTCCCTGCCAGGGGTGCCCTGACTGGGGTGGAGTTGAAGCTCCTCTTCCTTGGTGTGCTAGAGCCAGGCTTAGCCCTGCCAGGCAGCATGTGGGCAGCAAGCAGGCAGAGAGGGTGGAGGTGGGGTAAGAGTCCTGCAGCCTCAGACCGAAAGAGCTGGGTTCTTCCCCCTTTTTTCTTTTATTTATATTTTTTTCCTTTTTTTCCATTAAGAAAAAAAAAAAAGCAAGCGCAAAACTCTCAAGGGAACCTCAAAAAATCCCCCAGAAGGCCCTGCAGCAGCAGCCCCACTGCTGGGGACACGTTCCCTGGAGCTCAGCACCTTCCAACTTCTTTTGAGTCTGCCCTGGGTTTGGCTCCCTGCACAGCAGCTCCGCCGGCCACATTTCTTGTGAAGTGTGCTTGGATTGGTTTATGATTGGATCTTTGATTTTGATTTTTTTTATTATTATTATTATTATCATTAGTATTTTTTTTACTTTATTTCTTTTGAGGTTTTGGGGGTTTTTTTGGTTTTTGTTTCGGTTCTTTTTTAGCTGCTGGCTCTATCTCTCCAAAGCTTTAGCAAAAATTGGGGTTCTTTCACTTTTGTCTTCCTTTGGAAAGGCTTTTCTTTGGTCTGAGCATGCCATCTTTGCACCTCACCAATCTTGTGGTTAGTGTCCCTGCCCTCCTTCCTCTAGTGACACACTTGTCCCCCTCCTCCCTGCCTTCCCCCCTCTCCCTCCTCTTTCCTCCCCTTTTCACCCCCTTGGCTTCAACACCAGCTGCCCTGCGATTTTGGGTGGGTGGGTGTGCTTCTAAGACCTCCTTGTGGCCACAGGGCTCTGCCCTGGGCATGTGGTCCTGCCAGAAAGCCCTGGCATGGCCCAGTCACTTGTCCTTGGTGTCCTCTGAGAAGAGATCAGGCGAGGGGGCTGGCAGAAGGTGGCAATGGGGCAGCGCCTTTTGTTTCCACAACTTGAGTCCTTGGAGATGCTTTGGATGGAAGAAGCCTCAAGCAGTGGTTGGAAGTCAATGAGAGTCACCAGAGCAGGGAGAACCTCTGGGGCTTGGGCTGCAACTGTGGGTCTGAGGCCTCCTGCAAGAGCCTCCTGGGCACTTTTGAGTGCTGTTGGATGTCTGCAAAGATGCCTGTGAGGCTGAGACATCACAAGCAACATTGCCAGCCATCTGGAGATGCAACCCTCATGGGAGCCTTCCAAAAGAGAAGTGTCCTGGCTGGTCCCAGCACCATGCTACCCAACAATACCCGAAGACAATGCATGTCAAGACACTGGTGGGTGCCCTGGGGAGAGGCAATGGGCACCCTGCACTCCCTCTTGCTCAGAGCAGTGCTGCCCACAGGCAAGGGCAGTTTGTTCCTCTGGGCATGGAGCTTGGTGCTAAAGGCTGGGGAGATGACTTGTGCTGAGGACACAGCACACTGCCCTTGCCAGAGCACCAGGAGGACCATTGAATGACGAGCCAGCCAGCAGCAGGGTTAAGGAAGACAGCAAGAGGAGGGAAAATGCTTGAGAAAGAGAGAGCTGCAGCCTGGCAGGAGGTGCAGGCAGAGATGTGGTGTGGCCATCATGTTGAACCCCAGCACAGCGCCTGGCTGTGGTAGCATCAGCGACCTGGACACCATGGAGGAGAGCAAGGAGGGTCAGATCTGCCACACAGGGAGTGCGCAGCTCCATCCTCACCCATAGAGAGAAGCCAGCAGTGCAGTCCCTGTGACGTGCTGGCGAGTAGCCCGGGACCCCGAAGCCACACATGCAAAGGGATGGGATGGAGGAGACACAGGCTGCTGATGCCACCAGCTGCACCTGCAGCCCCCCTGCCAGCTGGGGCAAAGGCTTCCTGCAGCCACCAGCAGCTGGTGGGTAGAGCTGGGGCCAGGCTGGCTTCAGCAGGTTCATCTCTGGAGGCTTCTGGCCTCCAGCCAGGACCTTCTCTCCCCTCCTTCAGTCCTGCTGGCCTCTACCTCCCTTCTCACCCTCCCTTCCCTCCTGCCTTGCCCCTGCCTCCCCCACGGTGACTCCTCAGCCACCCGACCCCCTCGTGTTGCAGCATCTCCTGCCCTAGTCCTCCGGCTCCACCACAGAGACAAGGTCCTCTTCCCTCCCAGCTTCACGGTGGCACCAGCGCAGCCCCCCTCCCCTCCCCGCCCGCCACGGAGGTGACAGCTGGAGAGGTAATGCCAGTCCCACCTGCTCCAGGGTGCTGCCTGTGTCCTGCTCCCTGCCCTCCTGGCTGGCCTTGGCTGCCTTCTCTTTTAGTTTTGCTTTGCAGCGCCGCGGTCGCGACCTGAGCGGTGACCTGGGATCCTGGCCGCGCCACCTGCGCCTGGGGACCCACGGGTGGGAGCAGTGACCTCTGTCCCCCCCGTCTTGTGTGTCCTTCCCCATCCACTCCCCTCCCCACTCCCCCTCCACCTCTGACAGGGCCTTCGTCTACCTGAGCAACCTCCTGTACCCCGTGCCCCTGGTCCACCGCGTGGCCATCGTCAGCGAGAAGGGTGAAGTGAAGGGCTTCCTGCGTGTGGCTGTCCAGGCCATCTCAGGTAGGAGGAGAACCCCTCTAAAATGTGCCCCTTGTGTCCCCTGCCTGCCCCCCCCCCCCCAAAAACACCCACCTACCCCCCTCCCCCCCC